GGACACCCTCACGCTTCCTTCCGTCGGGCCGAAGGAACCCTGACCAGCATTGATTACTCCTGCTTGGGAAGCAGGTCCGCCCGTGAAAAAGGTCTCAGACTGATACACCCAGGAAAGCCCTTGTGTGACTATGCCCTGAGCGAATCGCACGGATCCGATCGAGTTAGATCTTAGTAGTTAACCCCCTTTCTAAAAATGCACCCCTCCCCTCTCTCTCTCTCTCTCTCTCTCTCTCTCTCTCTCTCTCTCTCTCTCTCTCTCTCTCTCCCCCAATCTTTTCCCTCGGGAATCTGACGGCGCTCATTCGTTCTAGGGTCAGCCAATTAACGAGCGAGGGGGAAGATACATAACACCACCGTCGTGCTCTACTGTAGAGTTGCGGGCGGGAAGCGCGGGAAAAGTGGAACTCGTCATTCCTAATTCGAGCGCGCCAAAACAGAAACGAAAACAAAACTCCCTAAAAAAAAAACAAAAAAAAACGAGAACAACAAAAACGGTCATTCGGCAGCATACGAGATCGGCAGTAGAAACCCCATCATGCGACTGCACAGTAGATTAGACCTCAAATGTGAGATTCTTTAAGCCTGACGTCAGTTTCGACATTTCCCAATCGTGGCCCTTTAGAGAGAGAGAGAGAGAGAGAGAGAGAGAGAGAGAGAGAGCTTAGGATGATGGACTGCTGTTTCAAATTCCAAGAAGAATCTTTAATACTTGCATTTATCATCACACTCGCACACTTTGATATGATATGATATCAGACGAGATGAGATGAGATCACACATCACTGCAACTTCACACTGTCACACAAAACTGGAAATAATCACTCGCATGAATATCCATTTCTCGCGAATCATAAAACAATAGCAAAAGCAGTTCACGAGACCAGGATTTGTTTTTGGCATGAGCGCTCAATTCCAAACGCCTTTGTTGCGTCAAGAAACCCTGCAGCGAACAGCAAAATCTCACTGGATATGGCTGCGTCCTGTTTCTTCTCCAGCCAGCGCAAAAAATAGCCGACCTCCAGCCAAAAAAACGAGCAGCCAAATCTCGACGACGACTTCGAGCTCGGGTCGATCACATATGGCGGGCGTACTATTCCTTTTTTGAAGTCTGTTTTAGAAAAGCGCGATGGCCTTGAGGTATTATCGTGCGACTAACCAGCCCAGGCAATCTTGTGTCTAATCTGACACAATCTTGTGTTAATCTGACACCCTCAGATTGAGATGGTAGCAGAGGGACCGAGCATCGAGCATGTGGCCAAACGTTGCCCTCCCCTATGGGCTCTCTCTATGTAGGTGGGGGGCGCCAAGCATGCCCAGGAAGATACATGAGGGCAAATTGAATGGGCATTGAACCCAAATTCAATGCCACTTGCGTGGCATACTAACTGAGCTTGTAGGCCGCTGGATGCGCACTATTTTTTGCACTATGTGCAGCTTACAACAATTTTTGACGTCCCTTCACTCCGTCGAAGGGGTAATTTAGTAATGCCAATTGGGGGGACCAACGGCCTCTCTCTAACTAGGAAGGGGGCGCCAAGCATGCCCAGGACGGTACATGAGGGCAGTGGGCATTGAACCCAAGACCTGTTGAATGCCACTTGCGTGCCTCACCAATGGAGTTCGGCCGCTGGATGTGCAGCTTACAACGATTTTTATTGTTTTTTATTTTTTTTTGTCTTTCCAATAATCGCTCTTTAAAAATTCAATAGAGGCCGGGGACCTCACAGTTCAACCCGGAGTACTGACAGCATCAGCCAGCTTAGCTTACAGGCATTTGCCTGCAGAACTCGAGGTTACTGAGTTCCAAATCCTACAGCCTACTTAACCTTACCATTTATCGTTCCATATCCGTCTTTCGCATGCGAGTAGGCTGAGTTGCTATCCCTTCAGTAGTTCGAGTTCCAATGCAGACTATCCAAATCTAGTATCTTCTCATACTAACCTGGAGCCTGGGACTACCGCGGCCCAGAGGACCTGGATCCGGTCCTTGCCTACCTCTGGCACTCTACTTCTAATGCCGGCCTACTGTGACCCTTACCCCACCGAGTGCCCTGGTGAGTAGCCTTGCTAGCTTACCAGCTACTACTGTCTACTCCTAATCCATCAGGTCTACCTGTCATTCCCCTGGGTTGTCCATCTCCAGTATCCAGCGAGAAATGACCGGTCTCACATCTGCCTGGACCGCTGCCAGCTTCTGATCCCTTGCCCATGTTCGTGTGAACCACCTCAGTTGTCTTCTAGACCCTTTGCCACCTTTCGCTTTCCGCCTCCAGTCCACCCAGATGGCCTGTTTCAGCCCCTGTTTGATAAAACATTTCGTTTCTTTGTCCGACAGAGGTTTTTTCTGAAAACGTGCTCTGTTTCTGTCTTTCCAGATTACTTCGCAGATGAGGCCTCTGACAGTGTGCGCTACGTATCCCCATCCTCTGTGTCCTTTCATTCCAGTCGGTAGAAATCCCAACAGCACCCATCTCTCATCCCATACTACCAACCGATCCCCGAATTTCATCCAGTGATGCGACCACCATTTCCATACACGTTTGGACGCTGGACACTCCCACCACAGATGTCTGGTGGATTCAAACAGCCATCTACACCTCGAGCAGCCCAGATCTACTTCCATAGCTCTGCTCCTTAGCCAGACTGCTGATGGGGTGACTAGCAGGGATAGCATCCACAGAAGGCTCACCTGTTTTCCGTTCGGAAGAACTATGAGGGCTCCCCATAGGCGTTCGAACTCAGCACCTGCTTGCGTCAGGTCCTCCGTCCACACTGCCTGCCATCTCGATATCGCAACCTGGGCCGGGGCTTTACGGCTGGGGGCCGACCGCTGACACCCCTGTGACACTGTGTAGTCCATCAGACTCAGGGGCGCGTCTTCGTCTGCATTGGGTGACCAGCTCCATGCCGTGGGGTCTATGCTCAGTCGGCACAGCGGGGTTCCGCCTACCCAGATCGGGGCCTGGCCTGTTCGTGGGCAGCTTCTTTTCTCCACAGCAGCGCATCGCGGCAAGGCTCAGGTTGTGGGGAACGGCGTGGCACCTGTCACTGGTAGGGAGGGTCCTGGTCGCTAATGTGGCTTTTTTTTCTATCCTTTGGTTCGTAACCACGGTGAGAGAACTGGCGGTGGGAGTGGTGAAAGAAATCAGGAGGTTAGTGGTGAGGTTCTTGTGGAAACCGAGGGCCCGGTCAGCGGAGGGATTCATCTCCAAAGTGGCGTTTGACACATTAACGTTCCCAAGGGCAAAAGGGGGCCTAGGTCTGGTTGACCCAGTTCGCAAGAACCAGGCGCAGTTACGGGGTTGGGTAGCCAAAGTGGCCTCTTCGAACATCCGGGACCATTGGATAATTCTAGCGGAACGGATCCTGATGAACGAATGGGGCCTGAGCAGACCAAAGGACGTGTGGGTTTGCTTTCTTCTACCATCCTACAGGAAGAGAAAACTAAAGTCAAGACTATGGGAAGCAATCAGGTGGGCTAGGAAGCAGCACCCGCCGGATAGCCAACGGCCGCCCAGCACAAGGGATGAAGTTCTGGACCTTCGAGAACGCAGCAATTCTGGACCAGTCAGGTAGCATGTTGCTAGCAGATGGCTCCCGGGGTTCCTTTGGTCGAGCTTGGGTCCAACGGGGCATCGTAAAGCTGGACGATTTGTGGTCGAAAAGCCTGGGTAGCTGGAAACCCATATCTGAGGTGAGGGAGACTTTGAGAGGCCTCCAGAGAGTGGAAGAACACTGGAGAACAGTGGTCAACTCTGTCCCGTCGGAGTGGTTGGCTACATTGGGCCCGGAAGGAGTGGACTCAGCAAGGACATGGTATATCTCGAGCGTGGAGGCGCAAGGCGATGTCTTATGGAAGGTGAAGGAGGTTCTCCCTAGCGGCTTCAAGAGGATCGAAAGATGGAGAAGGGAAGCCCCCTCCAACAACCTGGAGAGGCTGCAAGAGGTGACAGTGAGAGCTTGGGACAACCCAGCTGCGCCTTCACCCTGCATTCCTCCTCCCCATGCAACGGCATCCCTCGGATGTCCGGGCTCCTTCTAATCCTGTTGAGCAATACTTCCAGCTGCAGCACGAACACCAGCGGGGCGAGCGGGCATCCCTATCTCAAAGACCGCGAGAGTTCAAAGGGAGAAGAAAGGTGACCATTGATCATGACCGCGGATGAGGAGCAGGTGTACATAGCCTTGATCGATGCGCAGAAACTGGTACCAAATCCCATCCACTTGAGGGTGGTCAGGACAAAGGTCCAGCCTACCTTGTTGTAGGTTTTTTCCAGATCCAACAAGAGAACAACCATGTCTAACTCCTCCGTCTGAACGATTTCCAGTGTCTCGATGGCGGTGACTATGTTGCTGAAAATCGATCTGCCTTGTACAAACGCCCCCTGATCCCTTCCACCAACTCTGGTAGGTACTTGGACAGTCTGCGCACTAGGGATTTAGCTAAAATCTTGTATGAGACATTCAAGAGGGCGACCGGGCGCCAGTTTCTGACGTCCGATTTGTCCCCCTTCTTGAACAAAACCGTGATAACACCGTGCGTCATCCCTTTACCCAGTTTACGCTCTACCAGCACCTCATAGTATACCTCCACCAGCAAGGGGCCGAGAACCTCCTAGTTTGCGGAGTAGAACTCCATCGTAAGCTCGTCAATCCCGGGGGATTTCCCTTTCGCCATCGATTTCACCGTTTGTGTGAACTCTTCGAGAGTGACCGGTCTGTCCAAGTCCAATGCCGCCGTTGTGTTGAGCTTAACCGTGGTGTCTGACCACATGTCTGACTGTAGCGACAGATCTGTGTCTACGTCCTCGCCTGGACGTCTGGTCATGAGAATGTCCGCGTAGTACAGGTTCGCGTACTGAAGCATGCCCGCTGCAGAAACGGTTGTGGGGGCCGCCTCGTCAAATGGGTGCTTTAATTCGATCATTTGTTGTTGCATCCGCCTTGGTTGAAGTTTCGGAAATGTTTCCTTGCTCATTTTGTCGTTCGTTTCTATGCCTTTTACCTGCAGGATCTCCGACCACCTTCGTTGTTTGTCCTCCTGCAGCTTGTCCTGTTCGGCCATTCTCTTCACCCGCTATGCAGCCCACACCCTTGCTGAGATGGGGTTCCCTTCCATCTTCTCCTCCGCCTCTTCGATTCTCCTGATGCACTCCGCTTCCTTTCTATTTCTCGCTCTTGCTAGGATCCTTGAGATAACGTCCAAGATGCCTGGATCCTCGAGAACATGACTGTTCAGACGGAAGAATCCTCTCCCCCTCTCCACTCCGAGCCTCAGACGTATGTCTGTCACTACCGGTTTGTGATCCGACATCGGGTGGCCGGCCTGTTTGACCATAACTATCCTTTCCAACACAGGTTCACTCAGCATGAAATAGTCCAAGCGTCTCCTTGTGATGTCTTGCCTGTCCCTGTGCAGGTTTGAGAACCAGGAGTAACCTGGATCGTTCGGATTGAGAACTGGGAAAGGGTCAGACAGTGACAGTTCTGCACAGCAATCCAGCAATGCACGTACATCCCTGCGATCGGCTGAGGCCGAATTCGGACGCAATGCTTCGTCTAGTGAGACGTTCCAGTCACCGGCCAGCAACAGGTTGTCTGCTTAGGGCACATGAGTCCTTAGCCTAACAAAAAAACTTGCTCTCTCGTTAACTACCGTTGGGGCATATATTGTCGCGAGTACCCAAACCTCCCCTCCTATTTCCACTTTTAACCACGCCCATCTCCCCCACAGATCCGCTTTCGCGTCGATGACTACCGCCTGCAGGTCACTTTGCAGCAGAATCCCTACCCCTCCTCGCGTCCCCTTTGCTGGAGCCCACACTTGCGGACCATCCCACCACGTGGCAAATTCCTTCAGCTTGTCTTCATTGAGCTTGGTTTCTTGTATCAGAACACAGTTCGCTCTCCATTCATGCAGCCAAGACTTTAACCTCCTCCGCTTCATTCGTCCGTTTGTGTCTCCAAGGCCCCGGACGTTCCATGTGACTGCTCTAAGTCTGTCCATCTACTGTTGCCTGCCCCGTTTGATCTTGGATACGGGTTGGGACTTGGGTTGTCTCTCTGTGAGACGAAGGCCGTTGGGCATAACTGCTCGAACTCCGTGGTGCCGACTTCAAGACTTCTCTCGAGGAGCTCACCCGAGATGACGATCGCCAGTCCTCTGTTAAACTGTTGGCTAGGAAGCTAGAAAGAAAAAAGTTATCTTCAACCAGCAGCTTCTCGTTGGCGTTTACCAGCACCATCGCAGACACCTCTGGTATTATCTGGATGTTCTCGAGTTCGTGCCAATTCCTCTCCCTTAGCACTGTTAGTAGGTCCACTTTGAACCTTCTCACTCTAGTCTGATCCATTGTGGCTACAACTTCTGACGGTATGCGAGCATCTAAGATCGGGAAATACAGCTTGTTGTAACCTTGAACTGTCTCTACGATTACTTGCGCCATTGTGGATCGCGAAATAAGTCTCACCGGGACATAGATCCCGTATAGCTCCCTTACCACTTCCATGATGATAGCCGGCGAGGGGGTGCTATCTATGACCTTGGACGGGATCTGAGGCGCTCCTTCCACATTTGTGAGAGATAACAAGCTCACTCCCTCTTCCAAGCTCGTGCACAGAACTGGGACTAGGGACCTCTCCACAGTCTCCATCTGATTTCGTTCTAGGGCGATTGCCCTCTGGCTTTTTTCCAGTCCTCTTCTGCTGCTGCATCCTGTCTCCTTCTTCCTTCTGAGCCCCGAACCTGCTGAGCTCTCCATGGATGAAGATTCAACCGACTTGTAATTAGCTCTCAAATCCTCTTCACAGCACTCGCTGCCCCACCTGATTCTTGACTGCGAAGACTCTGGCGTCTTGTGCATATCCTCTTGGAGCTTCCCTGATCGTCCCCCCACTCCCGTTGAGACCCAGATTTTCTGGTGCTCCTCTTCCTCTCTGATACCTGGGAATTGGGTTGCTGGATTGCACCGCCATGGTTGGGTTGGGTCTCCCCTGTTTCTCCAACTGTCCTCCCTGCCCAGTTCCCATCTCCTGTTGTTGCTTCTATAGGTTCTTCTGATCGAGCCCCCTCTCTCTTCCCATTTGTGGGGGATAGCCGGTGGCAGTCCTCTCCCTGCAGCCTGTGGGACAAAGTTCCTCCAGTCGTACTTGCCGGATGGATAGCTTAGCATCGGGTGTTCGACTTGGAAGTGCTGCAAGTTGCGGGCCTGTAAGCTCAGGTTCGGATTGCTCGCCCTAAATACTTCTTCCTGCAGGCTGTGTTGTGTCCCCTGTCACTGCATGATGGGCCTGTTTGGATCCCCCCCCCGGACCACGTCGTCTTGCAGGTTGTGTTGGTGCCATGGCCATTGAGTGATAGGTCGGCCTGGGCCAATGTCTCCCCACGGGACTCCCATTGTCTCAGACGAATTGATGTGGGCGGTAAAGTTGCCTGTTGACCAGTCTTCTCGCGGTAACCAGGGTGTTAGCAGGGGGCGAGCCTGCTCCAGTTCATGGTCCGCAACCCACCTTTGCGACCTTTGGTACACTTCCTCCTCCCATAGTTGTTGCTGCTGCTGACTGGTCGTCCTCTCACCTCTGTCCGACGATCTCTGGTGAGTATGGTCTTCCCTTGGTAAGGTAGGTGCCTCCGCATCTCCTTCCAGCGTCCTTCTTGACGCCTCCTTCGACCACCTGGGCGTTTGTCCTGCCAAGACGCCCCCTATGCTCCGTTCTGAGTCTCTATCCGGTACAGTTGTCCTGAATACACCTCTTCTTTGGTCTTGACCAGGATCTGCGGGCCTTTGTCCCGTCTGATTGCGATTGGTACTCCTCCCTTCCCCTTGGGAATTTTGCCTTTAGCTTTCCAGATGTTGTCTGAACCTTTCCCTGTGTCCACCTTGTCTCTCTCCATTCCTCGTCTTCCCTCCTCCGATTGTCTGAACTTTGGACAATTGTCCTCAGTATGGAAGTACCATCGACATTTGCGGCACCAGTCTGTGTACGGCGTTGCTATTTCCACTTTCCACCGTTCCCCCTCCGGTGACTGTATTACCAGATAGTCGTCGATCTTTGCTCTCGATTCAGGCGGCATGTCTATTTTGACATTCATAAGCTTTGGTCGATCCTTGTCAAACTTCGGAGTGTGCATTGTTAGAATCTCACCAAACAGGCCCACCACATCGCTGCCCAGAAAATAGTAGGCGCCTAGTGGTACTCTCAACGCCATTATCCAGAACCTTGTTTCTACTTCTTGCATACGAAGCACCTGCATCTCGTGTTTTGGAAGCCTTGGTTTGAACGAAACTGAATACTCTTTATAGCCTTCTATTTTGATCTTGAGCTCCTTCTGTTGTATGAGCCAGGTAGCGATCTCCTTGGATTTGGCAACGTAGGAGGCAACATTCTGACCTTCGAACTTGACTCTACCCCTCTTTGCTTCCGGTTGAAAGAGTCTCTTTGTGGTCCACCCATCCTCATATGCTCTGATTAAGTCTTCCTTCACCATCCGTGATAGGTTCCTTGCTTCTCCCTAAAAAATTACCATGACTGATCTCTCCTTCATCCGATCCTCTTTTACCTTGTTCACTGCTTCGTTCGCCACGAAACGCCGACCTTCCTCATCCTCTACAACAGTGCCGAGGTTTCCTCATACGGACACACACCTTCATCATAGCATCTTTCGACGGAGTCTCTAACCTTGTCGAGTTGCTCCTTGCTCAGGACCGATCATGAGGGTACCGCCTCTCTGCCTCCGGATTCATCCATTCTGGTACCTTGTCTGTTATCCATCCTAATCACTCACTCCGGGTCACTCGCTCTACCTTTCCCACTTCCCTCTCTCTCTCTCTCTCTCTCTCTCTCTCTCTCTCTCTCTCTCTCTCGCGCGCGCGCGCGCGCGCGTGCGCGCGCGCGCGCGATTAGGTGGTATCATTCGTGATCGTCAGTCAAAATCCGATTTTCTTAGGAAGTGGGCAGCCAGGAGCGTCCCGCCCTGCCCCCTGAAGCGTACGACTTCCTCTCCTCTTACAGCATCTCGAAGGTGGCAGTTTCAGCGGCGGATAATATCTCAGTGTAATTCGTAGTGAAACTAACAGGGATTGTTACGAGCCTGAGGACCCTCACACCCTTGCCCAACTGCGTGTCTCCAGTGGTCGAGAGGACTAGGTTCCAGCGTATTGTGCCACGTTGCTTACTTGCGAGATAGAACCCTTGCATATTCTGCTGCCGCACGGTAAGAGAGAGTTTGTACTCTCGTTGCCTCCTTCTCCCTCTCTCTTTTTTTTTCTCTCTCTCTCTCTCTCTCTCTCTCTCTCTCTCTCTCTCTCTCTCTCTCTCTCTCTCTC